TCTGCTACACTTTCATGACGTCACAACAGTAAACAAACCGACAACGTGACCGACGGAAATGAATGACAACGATGAAATTCTCGTAATGATTTACTTATTTTGTCGCCAATAGATGATGATATATACTAGCAAGTTGTTTTATCTACCAGAAGTACAAGCTATTTATAACTGTATTATTGCTTTCCTGGAAAGACCATAATACCAAGTGCGTTTTTATTTACCGATGTTATTTCCATTCTAAAGTCGCAGTTGAAAGACCCATCTTTGTTATGAATGGTAGATATTATCCTTTTAGATTTGCTATAAAGTGTGTGGACGATTATTTCTTTTTCTTTTCATAACTTTTGTGCTACGCAATATGTATAAGATATTTTGAAATTTGTTTATCTTCTTCAGTAAATGTAAAACCACGACAAGAAAAGATTTCGTCGGTAATATCACTAACATTACTAAAAGCATCCACTGTTCTCTTCTGCGAATAATTCTGTCACTCACCATCTCGCATTGCGGTCGTTTGTTTACATTGATAGCAAGCTGGAAGTTGGGTCTGTTTTGACGAATTCGGCAAGGCGAAGCAAACCAAAACCAAACCATGGCTTGCTCGCGTTTCTCGTCAAAAGTGCGCCTTGTGTTTGTGTGTGCGTATATATGTGGTTATTTGTATTCAAGGTCTACATATATATGCATATCTCGATATGGGTGTATGTGTATATTGGTATATATATTTATATTTAAAAGTATATATATGTGTGCGTGTGCGTGCATGCGTGTGTGTGTGTCAGTGCGAGTATGTGTTCTTGTGTCTCTATATAAATAATGACCATTCATGGAAAATATCTATAAGAATAATTACTATTTAGACATTTTTCGCAAGGTTTCACCGAAAGCAATAATTTTAGCTAAGTTGAGAATTAGAAGTTTCACGATTTTTCGAATGAAGATGTTGCCAATTGTGCCATAGTCCCGCGTCCAGAAAGAGGTGAGAAGTGGGCGCACACCCAACTCGCGCCACATAAAAGCCTCAGCAGCCGCCTCTCGCTAGACACAACGGAAACAACACTCGGAGAGAGAACAAAGCAAGCTGTAGCTTTATCTACATTTTCACGTTTTACTCTACCTTATTGAAGCGCTAAACAATAGAGAAAAATGGAGAACAAAGGTACTGACGCCCTTGTTGAACAGAAACCAGAGGCTCCCGAATGCAAAGAGGATTCGCTTCTCCCCATCGCTGAGAAGGGACTTTTCTTTCACGATTCCTTCTTCGAGGATATTCGGAAGCACTTTGAGACAGCCATCGACCAAATGCTGGATTCTTGGGGAGAAGCCAAATCCGTGAGTGATCTGATGAGTAGCTACAGACGTGTAAGAGACCGCAATTTGCAACAAGAGAACCAAGTCATGGCCTTCAGCGAAGACGACCACAATCATAAGGTTAGTTTTACAATCTAAAATCCATATGGATCACACACTAATATTAATATTTATTTAAATGAATAGAAAAAAGAAGGTACAGGAACTATTCAAATTGAATTTTTCTTCAGTAGTTATCTAAGTAAAGGAAATAGAATATTTAGATTTCAATTATAATTACAGTGCAAAGGGAAAAATTAGAAAAGTAAATACTACTCAATATCATATACAGGTTGTACTGGATGTTCATGACTTCAAGAGTGGAGACGTCAAGGTCAGAGTGGAAGATAATCAGGTGGTGGTGGAAGGTCGAGTGGAAAAGGAAGAGGGCGACTTCAAGTCCATGAAAAGCTTTTGTCGGCGTTTCAACTTCCCAGGCAAAGTGGACATGGAGGCCGTGACTTCCGCAGTGTCTTCCGATGGCGTGTTGACTGTCACGGCTCCGAAGGTTCCACAGGCAGCATAAGAAGACATTTCATTAACTGTTATTGTAATCTAATTTTAAAGTCGATGTATGCTTAATAACTACTCATTATTTTTGGTAATGTCCAAATGAATAAGATTAGTTTTCTTTAAATAAATTGTATTTCTTCACATGCGTGTTTGACTTTCCTTGCCTTCCTGCCGACTGCCGGATAAATTGCATAACAGATGGGTCTTCGAATCTCTTGAAGAAAAAATAACAGTACCAAATGCAAAGTGAAATCACTGCTTCCAACTGTTGTGACCTGTGCTTTCATCATTATTTTTCGAAAATACTAGTAGAAATGAATAATGGTCTACCGAGCTGTTGCAAAGATTGCATTGCTGATGGTTCTTCGAAAACGATGGCCAAATAAATGATACCACAAGTAGCACAAAAAAGCACATTTCATTTGCTGAAATTATATTCTAATTTAAAGGTAATGTAAGTTAGACTAACTCATTATTGTTGTTTTACATCATGTTAAAGTAATATATATATTATAACAGATTAGTTTTGTTTGCCACTAAAAGGGCTTAAAAACAGTAAAAAGAACTGGCATCTAAGTTAAAATACGTAAAATGACAAACAAGGAGTAGAGGTAAGAGGAAGCATGAAAAAAGTAAATGAAAAGATCGTAAAATCAGAAAAGTAAAAAAGCAAAAGCTGAAGTAAAAGTGCAGGTAAAAGACGAGTAAAAGGGTAAAACGAATAAAAGAAACCAGTAAAAGTAAGTAAAACTCAGAGTAAGTAAAAAGTAGAAGTAACGGCACACATGGTTCAAAGTAAAAACTAGAGTAAAACAGTAAAATAACACGTCCAGCATAAATACACCTAGGCAAGTAAAGGGGGCAGTACAACCTTATTTCAACATCCACGGTGTAAAATCCAGACAGGTAAATCCAAGGGTCAAGTCAAACACAGTCAAAGTATCCACTTCGTTTATTGTTTAGAATCAAGGGGGTTACATTGCCTCACGTGGACGGAGTGGTAGCGGTAAAAATCATTAAAACAATAAATAGGAAATATTAAAATAAAAGAAAATATACACAAGATAAAACAAAAGGTAAAAGCAATAAAACATCCCAAGAAATAAATGAGAAAATAATAATTAGAATAAAAAATACGTAAAACCATCTGCTGCGATTCAGAAATAAAAATACTAAAATAAATGACTTGCTCTCGAAGTAAAAGAGAGATTAAAATGATCAGTAAGTAAAAATAAACCAATTAAAAAATAAAACTGAACTTAGGATAAAAGGAATAAAAAGTACGAGAGAAATCGCAACAGATGAGGATGCCCCCTTATCTGCACATCACGTGAATCCTTGTGGGATATAGGTGGATAGCAAACGAATTCAGTGGAAGTTTTATTCAAAAGTGCATAAAAACAGCGTAAATCAACGTAAAATACATGTAAATAAAGCCAGCATAAAACATAAGTAAAATAAAAGCGTAGAAATCAGGCTGGCTGGGGGAAGTGGTCCGCTGTGCTCGACTCGCCCTGTGGATTACGGAGGATGCTGGGTAGGATAGGGATAGGATGGGGGCAGGAGTGGATAGGGTTAAAGGTAGAAGATAGGACAAACGGGAGAAAAGGAATGGGGAAGGGAGGAATGAGCGTAGAAGTAGAGGAAAGCGAAAAAGCGAAGGAACAAGAAAAGGGTGCGAATAAGAGGGGTACGAGGGGAAATGCGGCAGGATACAGGATAGGATAGGGATAGGATGGAGGTAGGATAGGTTAGAGATAAAGATAAGAAGTAGAACAAGCAGAGAAAAAGAGTAAAAGAGGGAGAAACTAGCACAGAAGTAGAGGAGAGTATAAAAAGCGAGGGGACAAGGAGAGGGTACGAATAAGGAGAGGGATATGAGGATAGAGGAAAAAAAGGGGGGAGGGGGAGGATAGATGATGGGTAAGGTCTGTGGGGGGGGGGAGGAGGTTGAAAACCTCACAACAGCACTGCGAAAAATCCTAAATACTAATCATTCGTTTTTAGAGATATCTTCCATCATCTATATGATCATTATTTACATAGAGAACAAGTACATATACGCGCACTAACACGTACACATGCACGCACACACACATACAGTATATGCATTTATAAAATATGTATATATACACACATAACGAGATATGCATATATATGTAGATATTGAATACAAATAGGCATATATATACGCACACACAAATACATAAGGTGCATTTTTGACGAGAAACGCGAGCAAGCCATGGTTTGGTTTGGTTTGCTTCGCCTTCCCGAATTCGTCAAAGACAGACTCAACTTCCAGCTTGCTATCAATGTAAACAAACGACCGCAATGCGAGATGATGAGTGACAGAATTATTCGCAGAAGAGAACAGTGGATGCTGTTAGTAATGTTAGTGATATTACCGAAGAAGAAATCTTTTCTTATCGTGGTTTTGCATTCACTGGAGAAGATAAACGAAATAAGGATTTCAAAATATCATCTGCATATTGTGGAGCAAAAAATTATAAAATAAAGTGAAAAAAAACGTCCACACACTTTAGAGCAAGTCTAAAAGGATAATATCTATCATTCATAGCAAAACTGGGTCTTTCAACAGCGAGTTTAGAATGGAAATAACATAGGTAAATAAAAACGCACTTTAAACATCCCAGGGTAGCCATAATACAGTTATGAATAGCTAGTACTTTTTTCTAGAGAATAATAAAACTAATAATATACTCCAGTTAATACTTCTGGCAGGTACAGATATAACAACTTGTTTGTTTACTAATGTTACGTCGTGAAAGTATAACAAAGTTTGTCTGGAGTAGTTTGAAAATGGCTTGGTTACGAAACCAAGATATATGACAAGAAGGATCTCTCAAGATTTTTTTTTTAATCTTGAATTATCTTGCTCCTCAACAACACCAATACACAAAAATGCATTGTGTGTATTGGTGCGAGGACAGTATAAGTGTACAAATATGTATATGTACAAACGGGCGCGCACGCACACATAAACACACATGCACATATAGATAGAAAAACGATTATAACATATATGTATGTGTATATATTTCAAGTACTTCCAACCTCAGTAACCATATGAAAACAGTTTCGCGAAAAGGCAAGGCAATTAAAGTCATACACACATGTAAACAAATACAATTTATTTATAAAATAGCAAAATCACTATTCATTTTAACATTATCAAAAATAACAATAAATAGCTCCGAAAACACATTGTCTCTAAGATTAGATTACAGTTCCAGTTAATGAAATATGTTTTCCTATGCTGCCTGTGGAACCTTCGGAGCCGTGACACTCAACACGCCATCGGAAGACACTGCGGAAGTCACGGCCTCCATGTCCACTTTGCCTGGGAAGTTGAAACGTCGACAGAAGCTTTTCATGGACTTGAAGTCGCCCTCTTCCTTTTCCACTCGACCTTCCACCACCACCTGATTATCTTCCACTCTGACCTTAACGTCTCCACTCTTGAAGTCGTGAACATCCAGTACAACCTGTTTATAGAATCGAGTAAGAATATTTATTTTTATTTATTTTTTAATTAATTAATTAATTTATTTATTACCTTTCCTTTTCAGTTTTCATGATTATCTAAATACTATGTTTGCGTGAACTATATCTTTTATATATAACCTTTAATTTGAAAAAAAAAATCCATTCTGGTAAATGGATATCTACATCAGTGTTTTTATAATCCACATGGAATAAATTGTAGAACTAACCTTATGATTCTGGTCGTCTTCGCTGAAGGCCATGACTTGGTTCTCCTGCTGCAAATTGCGGTCTCTTACACGTCTGTAGCTACTCATCAGATCACTCACGGATTTGGCTTCTCCCCAAGAATCCAGCATTTGGTCGATGGCTGTCTCAAAGTGCTTGCGAATATCCTCGAAGAAGGAATCGTCGAAGAAAAGTCCCTTCTCAGCGATGGGGAGAAGTGAATCCTCTTTGCATTCGGGAGCTTCTGGTTTCTGTTCAGCAAGGGCGTCAGTACCTTTGTTCTCCATTTTTCTCTATTGTTTAGCGCTTCAATAAGATACAGTAAGACGTGAAAATGTAGATAAAGCTACAGCTTGCTTTGTTCTCTCTCCGAGTGTTGTTTCCGTTGTGTCTAGCGAGAGGCGGCTGCTGAGGCTTTTATGTGGCGCGAGTTGGGTGTGCGCCCACTTCTCACCTCTTTCTGGACGCGGGACAATTGGCAACATCTTCATTCGAAATCTCGTGAAACATCTAGTTCTCAAATTATTGCTTTCGGTGAAACCTTGCGAAAAATGCCTAAATAGTAATTATTCTTATAGATATTTTCCATGAATGGTCATTATTTATAGAGACACAAGAACACATACTCGCACTAACACACACGCACGCACGCACACGCATACATATATATACTTTCAAATATAAAAATATATACATATATACACATGCACCCATATAGAGATATGCATGTATATGTAGATCTTGAATACAAATAAGCACATATATACGCACACACAAACACATAAGGCGCACTTTTGACGAGAAACGCGAGCAAGCCATGGTTTGGTTTGGTTTGCTTCGCCTTCCCGAATTCGTCAAACACAGACCCAACTTCCAGCTTGCTATCAATGTAAACAAACGACCGCAATGCGAGATGGTGAGTGACAGAATTATTCGCAGAAGAGAACAGTGGATGCTGTTAGTAATGTTAGTGATATTACCGACGAAATCATTTCTTGTCGTGGTTTTACATTTACAGAAGATAAACGAATTTCAAAATATCTTTTACATATTGGGTAGCACAAAAGTTATGAAAAAAGAAATAATCGTCCACGCACTTTATAGCAAATCTAAAAGGATAATATCTACCATTCATAACAAAGATGGGTCTTTCAACTGCGACTTTAGAATGGAAATAACATCGGTAAATAAAAACGCACTTTGTATTATGGCTTTCCCAGGAAAGCCATAATACAGTTATAAATAGCTTGAACTTCTGGTAGATAAAACAACTTGCTAGTATATATCATCATCTATTGGCGACAAAATAAGTAAATCATTACGAGAATTTCATCGTTGTCATTCATTTCCGTCGGTCACGTTGTCGGTTTGTTTACTGTTGTGACGTCATGAAAGTGTAGCAGAGGAAGTTTGAAAATGTTTGGTTACGAAACCAGACCAAGATATCTGACAAGAAGGATGTTTCGAGAATTTTCAAAATTCTTGAATTATCTTACGGTCAAAAATGCGCCTGAACACACACAAACATTCTTTGTGTGTATTGGTGTGAGGACAATATAAGTACAGATATGTATATGTACAAACGCGCGCACGGAAACACACATAAACACACATGTACATTTAGAGAGATAGAAATGATTATAACATACCATATGTATATGTGTGTATACATTTCAAGTACTTCCTACTTAGGTAACCATCTGTTATCAAAACATTTTCGCAAAAAGGGAAGGCAAGAAAAGTCGTATATGTAAACAAATACAATTTATTCATAAAATAACAAAATCATTATTTATTTTAACATTATCAAAAATAACAATAAATAGCTCCTTAAACACATTGTCTTTAAGATTAGATTACAGTTCCAGTTAATGAAATATGTTTTCCTATGCTGCCTGTGGAATCTTCGGAGCCGTGACAGTCAACACGCCATCGGAAGACATTGCGGAAGTCACGGCCTCCATGTCCACTTTGCCTGGGAAGTTGAAACGTCGACAGAAGCTTTTCATGGACTTGAAGTCACCCTCTTCCTTTTCCACGACCTTCCACCACCACCTGATTATCTTCCACTCTGACCTTAACGTCTCCACTCTTGAAGTCATGAACATCTAGTACAACCTGTATATAGAATCGAGACTCTTCCACTTTGATTTTAATGAATATCTAAATACTCTGTGTGACGTAGATTTTCAAACCTAGCCTTTGATTTCAAAAGTTTTTAAACTTTTTCTATTATGTCAATCAGTGTCTGCAATCCACATGGATTTTAGATTGTAAATCTAACCTTATGACTATGGTCGTCTTCGCTGAAGGCCATGACTTGGTTCTCCTGCTGCAAATTGCGGTCTCTTACACGTCTGTAGCTACTCATCAGATCACTAAAGGATTTGTCTCTCCCCACGAATCCAGCATTTGGTCGATGGCTGTCTCAAAGTGCTTCCGAATATCCTCGAAGAAGGAATCGTCGAAGAAAAGTCCCTTCTCAGCGATTGGGAGAAGTGAATCCTCTTTGCATTCGGGAGCTTCTGGTTTCTGGTCAGCAAGGGCGTTAGTAGTTTTGTTCTCCATATTTCTCTATCGTTTATCACTTTAGTAAGATTGAGTACGTCTTGCGGTGATGTAGATAAAGCTACAGCTTGCTTTCTTTTCTCAAAGAGTGTTATTTCTGTTGTGTCTAGCGAGAGGCGGCTGCTGAGGCTTTTATGTGGCGCGAGTTGGGTGTGCGCCCATTTTCCACCTCCATCTGGACGCGGGATCATGGCATGCTTGGCAACATCTTTAGTCGAAATCTCGTGAAACTTCTAGTTCTCAAACTAAGATGAATTCATACGATCCAATCATGCGACAAATGCTTCATTACTGGGCATTGTAATGAACTGATATTTTCCATCATCTATAAGGCATCATTTACACTGAGACACAACAAATGCATACAGTGAACCCTCGCTTTTCGCGGGGGTTACGTTCCAAAAAGAACCCGTGATAGGCGAAATCCGTGAAGTAGTAACCTTTATTTTTTACAATTATTATACAAATACTCTACAATACTTTGAAACCAAAAAACAAAACCTTTTACAGGCCCAAGCATTTGTTTAACAAATAAAAGTACTGTATAACGTTTTTTTTTTTTTACAAATAACAACTGTACTGCAAAATAATAATTTTAATCATCAATACGAACTGAATGCTTCATGGGTTTTGGAGAAAATTTGCAAACTTAAATTTGGCAAACTGTTTACGTACATGTACATATTAAACCGTAACGTTATTGACAAACAGGTAGAGAAGAAGCGGAGAAACTGTTTAGCCAATCAGAATGCAGAACACAATGCACAATGCAAATCCGTGCGAAAGGTTTATAGCGAGGGTTCACTGTGTATATATATATATATATATATATATATATATATATATATATATATATATATATATATATATACACGCACACATATGTATGTATATGTGTGTAAATATTACATACCAACACACACACTCAAATATACTTTGTGTGTATAAGGACAATATATGTGTATATACACTGTATGTTTATGTACAAATGCATACAGATATATATATATATATATATATATATATATATATAATATATATATATATATAGATAGATAGATAGATAGATAGATAGATATGTATTCATATATATAGCATATAAATAGATATATATAGATATATATAAGAGAGATATATATAGATATATAAATATATATAGATATATGATATATATAGATATATAAACATACACACATGTATATATACATTTATATTTATATGTATAGGTATATAACTATCTGTATGTATGTCTATATCTGCATATATATAAGTATATAGGGATTGAATATGCATATATACATATATGTATACCTCTGTTTATACATATATGTGTGTAAATGCATACATAATACATATATGTGTTTGTGTGTGTGCATATATATGCACATATATACATTAGTATATGTATGGACACACAGATACACACATGCAGACATCCATAATATATACGTATAATGCCTAATACGAAAACACACCCGCGCGCGTGCACGGAGACATACATATATATAAGCAAACAAAACTATTCTATTATATAAAATATTTATATAAATTTCATTTAACAGTATCCACAATAACAAAAAGGAGTTAATTTACCGTACATTTTCTTTTAGATTATTTCAGCTAATGAAATATGCTTTCTCAAGCTGCCATCGTTTATATCAAGGGACACAAAGGCACAGGTCACAACAGTTGCAAATAGTGAATCATCTCTACATTTGGTAAAGGTATTTTCCTCGAGAGTTTCGAAGAACATCTGTTATGCAATCTTTGTGACAGCTGGTGATTTCTCTTTGCATTTAGTACTGTTATTTTTTCTTCAATACTTCGGAGAACCATCTATTATCAATCTATGACAGTCGATGCTTTTTCGATAAGTTCGCGAGAAA